TTAAAGCACAGCCTGGTGAGCAGACAATGCTCTTTTCCTTCTCTCTGTAGAGGGGAGATGCTTAGAGACAGATGAAAGGAGAAGGCAAAAGCACAGACTGTGATGAGCTGCTCCTGTCTGTGTGTGCCAGCACTATGTGGGGGCTGCTCTGGCTGGGGCTGTACTGGTCCAGTCAGCAAGGGAGAGCAATGCTGCCAACCTGTATGTCAGCAGGCCACAAGCTGGCCTGGCAGCAGTGGCTTCTCTCTGGCTGCCTCTTTATTCCCTTTGCTCCCCAGAGGTGGACACTGATGACATTGTCAAATGCTTCATTTTGTCAAGAGCAATGTGCCCTGCTCAGCCACAAGTTACTCCCTCCTGCTCACCCCAACCTCATCCCTGGTGTGAGCCAGGTGCAATCTCCAGCTTTCCTGGCCATACTTCTAGCCATGGCCCCAGGTTTTGTTCCTGTGAGGATTCCTCTATTCTGGGGTGGCAGGAGTGCTTCTCATCCCACTTCCCACCTGTTGTGCAGGAAACAGGTGGGACCTGTGTCATCAAACTGTGACTGAGCCTGGGGCACCAAGTCCAGGTTGGTCTTTCCTGCTTCCTGCAAGGCTCAGGGTCCCTGCTGAGACAGGCCATGCCACTCCCTGGGGTGGGATGAATCCCACCAGCCTCCTTCTCTTGGGGTCTCCTGCAGAGCAGAACAACCCCTTTGGGCTTGTCCTCATACCTCCCCACCCTGCGGGTTCATTTGCCTTACTAAATGACTTCATTGGTAAAAGTGGCTCCAGATTTCTATGCCGTAACTCTGACTTGTTCATCTCCACTCATTTCTCAATAGGAAAGAGGTTTTGGCACTTAATAAAATCTTTTTTCTTGTCTTCATCTTGTCTCACTCTGTATTTTGCAGAACAATTATTGACAAGCATCTCACTGCATCAGACCTACCTTGCCATGAAGTTTTGCCCAGCGAGTGAAGAACATGTGCTTGCAGAGCCGGGAGGGATTCCCACAGACCCTCTTCCCCGTTGTGGCATTGATAACCTCCAGCTCAGTGGTCCCCACAATCCAGTTCACACTGAAGCTGGGAGATTTTCCGGGCTGCCGAGCATCAGCATGGCTAACACCTGAGGGAGAGAAGGACACCAGTAACCTCCAGTGCTCTAAACACTCAGAGGCTGAGAACATGTTGTGGGTCCTTGTGGCAGGAGACATCCCTGAGCGACCCCGCGGGCACTGTGCACTGCATGTGCTCTTGTCACCATTGGTTAAATGTTACCAGGCTCAGTACCTAGCAGAGATATAATTTAGCAATTCCTATAGATTTTTTCCACCTTGCAGGCAAAGCTTTCAGTAGCCTAAGGAAAGCCTTTGGATTGTAGTCTGAGCTGTTGACAGCAGTGTGACGGCTGCTGAGTGAAATCTTTCAGAAGGGCTTTAACGGGATAACAGATTTTTAAAAGGAACTAAGCAGTAAAGTGTTTTTGCCATGAGTTCCTTCAGGTAAGATTTCCACAGTCCAGCATATTTATGTGCTATTGACTCCCAGGGCCTTCATTGTGATGGGATGTCTAGACCACAGGGGATGTAAAGAGGGGATAAGAAAATACATAACACACACTTCATCATCACAGAGAGATTATTAGATCTGAGTTAATAATGAGCTTGTAGACACCACAGACCTAGTCTTAGTCCCCATCTTGTGTCTGCATGCAAGATTCCTACCCTGTATGGGAACACCAATTTCTTCCAAGATTTTAGTTAGTGTCCTAATGGCAATATTTTGGGCATCTTTTAGTAGAATGCATCTTATTTAGTTTTAGACAGCTGCAATGATTATGTTTGCAATCACCTGGGGTGACAGCATGACCTTGGTGTCATTCACATGGCCAGTTTTGGGCATCTGAGCCACATACTGAGCCACTGCCTTCATGGGTGAGATCTCCCTTGGCTCTAAATACAGACCAAGGTGCACATGAGTTATTTTTAATCAGATACATTTCTGCTGCTTTTTAACCATTTAGTGTAGCTTAGCCTTTCCATGAATCCTGTTGCTTTCTCAGTTTTTGGACTTGAAACCAGGGAAGGATTAATCTTTTTTAAAAAAAAAAAGAGGAATAAAGAAAGTGGTTGGTTTCTTTTCCAGCATTGGATAAATGCAATCAAGTGAGCTCTGCCTTGCCCTACTCATTAGTGCTTTTGGAGCAAAGAATCAACACTGGAAGATTCCAAGGCTGGAAAAGACAGAGTAACCTAAAGCAGTTTGGCTATTTTTGAAAACATGGGGCATTGGATGATGTTTCTGGATCCAGCTGTTGCATCAGTCTCTGCTAATTTGCTGTGTGGGCCACTAGCCTGCAAACCTGGGCAACAAAAGCCACTGTGGTGAGCAGGCAGGTGTGGACTGTGCTGGTGGGCAGGAGCTGCCTGGCACAGCTGCCCAGCACAGGCCAGTGCCAAGGCTGGGGCTGTGTCCCAACGGCAGCTCCTGCTAGAGCCCCTGCCCACAGAAACAACAGCACCAGCTTACAGTTTGCACAGCTTGGCAGGACCTGCTGTCACTGCTCCTGGGTGGAGGGCAACCGAGAAAGGTCCTTTGCATTTTCTGCTGGGTGAGTTTCAAAGAACTTTTGCAGAGAGGGAGAAGGACTGATATGGGCTGTTCAGAGAGGAGTAGATTAAAGAACAGAGATCAAAGCCCCTCCTTTCCAAAGTGCCTCTTCTGGCCCAGGGATCTCATGTTTTGAAACAGATGTACACCACGAGCATCTGCTGGTCTCAGGCATTAGGAGAGGAGATGGAAACTGGTGGGAATGCAGCATCCATCACTGTGTTGAATGTGTTGAGCTTGGTAAGCTCCTGAGAGAGCACAAGAGAAAGAGAGGGCTGTGCAGGGTCTGCTGCAGCCCCTGCATCCTGCCTGGGGTCTCTCACAGCCACGAGAAGCGATGCCAGTGAGGGACATGTTCCCCCTCGCCCCTGGGGATAAATTACATGGCACAAACACTTTGTGTTGCTGACAAAGCTGGAACAGCAGAAATCATCCCAGTCTCTGGGACTGAACTCGCTACTGTGTGTAGAAGAAAATTACAGCTAAGTCATAACCTCACCCAGGATTTGTAAACACATTCATGTTGTATTAATACCTCTTTCAATTTTTCCCCCCTGAGATAGCAGATCAGTCTGCATCTAAAACTCCAGTTCACCTAGGCAACAGGATTTAAACTGAGAGCTTGAAAATCAGATAGCTCTGTGGTGCTGTTTGAGCGACTCTACACAGAACAAGATGCAAACAGATCCAAATCAGCTGTTTGACACTATGCACCACTCTCTGTCAAGATAGCACCCAAAACCTTAGAGGACTTGAGTGCCAACAAACATGATAGCAAATGCCATGCAAAGTTGCCACAGGCCAAACAACTGAATAACTAAATATGTTGTGAAGCTGCTGACCACAGGAAGAGAAGGAAAGGCTGCCCAGAGGGCAGAACAGGTTGTGGGTGCCCATCAGATGATGCTATGTACTCCTGCCCAGCCTGGGACCTCCTGCTCCCAGTGAACTACTGTGAGAGTAGTCCAGGCTTGTCTCAGTGCCTGGAAACCCCTCAGAGCTGGTCTGGCTTTCATGCTTTCTCTTCCCAGCTGTCACACATAAGTACATGTATTTAGGTAAGTAGAAGATATTTTCACATAATTTTCTGAGTGCAAGAGAAGAGATTTTAAAGGAAAAAAAATCATGAGACATGACAGATGCAGATAGAGAGCCTGGATATATTTGTTTATATAATTTTAAAACAGTTCTTTCATATTTTTCTTTTGACAAATAATTGTTCTGATTTTCTTTGGAAGGTGACACCCAAATAACCTAGATGATTTTCTCTCCTTTATGTAAAACATCCTCCTTAAAACCAATATAACAAAGAGTACAACAGAAGACTGTAGAAACTGTAAGGAAAAGTCTTTGCACAAATAATATAAATTTGAACATAGTGGGATATTAACTGAAATCTGTCCCTGTTCTCCTCTCTCTCCCTGCAAAACCTCATGCCTCTTCAGGATACACTTTAGAACAGCCTCAATCTTAAGAGAACAGGATATCAAAAGCACAGGGCTTTTCTTTCTTCCAGAAATGCCACCCAAGAGTAATCTCAGCGAATGAGTGGAGTTCCATCTGGCTGGGAGTGGTGTGAGTGGAAAACCTCACTGATAATTTTTCTGTGGAGCCAAGGAGTTAATCTCAGGATATGTCCTCACACACCATGACTCTCCTCTCCTTTGAAATCTTCATACCATTATGATCAAGTGACAAAATAACTGGCACCCCTATAACTGAAGGACTCCTACAGTTTGAAATCCTTGGCTGGCCTGATCTCCAAGACAGATGTGGGATGTGGACTTGCCTGGCTGAGGTTGCAAAGCTCTGGTCTCCAGTACATTTGGCATGGCTTTTGCTAGGTGCCCATCTCCTTATCACCAGATATGCTGGCAGCACAGTTTCCCAGGAAAAAGAAATGCAGCCTAAGCTTCAGCAATGTAAATTTTAATCAGCATTGTCTCCCTGGGATTTGTGGGGAAGGGAAGATTACAAATAATGGTTTTAGAGACAAAAACAAGGTAGACAGAGAAATACAGATTCTTCCAATTGCTTCTCCTGGACTGAGGAAATCCCACAAACACAACAAAAAGCAAAGCAAAAGCTTTTCCAAACAGAAGTCCCTGGGAAGGAGGAAAACAGCCCTGAAACATGTAGATATTTAAAGTTACACAAGGGCCCCTTTGATGCACTTCTAATTCCCTTGAAATCTCTGGCAACGACTCTTGGACACACTTGCACCAGGTATGAGCCATTGCTTTTATTATGCAAGGCCAATCCAGAAAAGCAATAACTGTTCTGTGGTGAAATTTCTTACAAAATCCCTTATTGTGTTTTCAGTGCTTCAACAATTCAAGTACATCCTGCAGACACAGTGAAAGTGTGTGTGCCTTTGATCTTAATGTATGGGTGCACTTTTAATGAGTTAGGGCTGACACAGGATGAGATCCACTTTCCCAGAAGGAGATGCAGAGGCTTCAGGCAGCCAGGGCTGGGTTGTCAAAATAACAGCCAGGTTCAGGAAATGGGGAGACATTTCCTGACCAGCTGTGAGTCCTGTCCTCTCTACCATGATGCCATGTGGAAGGAAGAGGGGGCTGAGTCATGTCCATGCTGGACCAAGGCAGGAGGGACAGGTGGGGACGTAGACTGGAGCAGGAGTGTGGAGCACTGCTTCCTGCCTCCTTGCATTGCATGGTCTTTGGCTAGCTGCATGGAAGAGTTAAAAAATGGAGGTAAGCTGTTCAAATAAGGATAAGCCTTTTGAACTATTCACCTCGTAACACGTACATGCACATTACACTTGCCAGATGTACTAAACCACACAGAACCTGAGAATTTCCCCAGTGGCTAAACTATCACTTCTGCCTCAGCCAAACTAATTTTGTCACAAGGATGTATTTAGAAAAACAAACAAACCATGAAATAGGTAAGAGATAAACCAGCACTCTCCTGACTGAGGAACCTAGAGGACTTTGGAAGGCAGTGGTGTACTCCACTAGAGTGTTCTGACCTCCCAGCTCTAACCTTGACATCGTGCTGGTGTCTCAGGGAATCCTTCTGAAGAACAGCTGTCAAAGTCTACGAGTAAAATAAGGATCTTCTCTGGTGCTGAACTGGTGGCTCTCAGCACTCACATGCCTCACGAGGACCCGAAGGCATTCAAGATTTCACGCGATTTCGCTGGGATGAGGCTGCAGAGCTACTCCTGCCTGGGCGTTAAGGAGTGGGAGTCAGGGGGATGGAGAGGGAGGACCAGAGACCTGGAGTGGGGACTGGAGCTGGGAAGGAGAAGTGGTGGCAGGAAGGGTCACACCAAGGGTAGCTGGAAAGCACAGAGCTCACCCAGCGGGCAGCAGCCTCAGTGGAGGGCAGACCCTGAGGTCTGCTGGGCAGGCAGGATCTGCTCCGTGAACGAACACCCGTTTCCTCACGGCTGGGTGCACCACACACCATGGTTAGCAAGGGGGGAAGGAACAGAGGCTCTCAGGAAGGTCACTCGTCGTGGGCCTGCCTGCATGGCACCAGGTGTGAGAGCTGGTTCTCCTGGCTCCACACACTCGTGCATTCACCGCGTGAGGGAGATCAGGATGGGAGAGAGTTAAACCTAAAATTTACTGAAAATTTCCTTCTTGGTTTTCAGAAATGTTTTACTTAGCCATGCTTTTTTTCCCCCCAGTTTGAGCATTTGATGTACAGTGGTTGTTTTCCTAGTCAGCTTGTATCCACTACTGATCCTTTTTGTGGCCACTGCATGTGAAAAAGAAACTAGATTCAAACACATCAGTTTTTTCAGTCTACAAATTCATACTCTGCAGGGGAAAAAAAAAGAAGGCACAAGCTAATGGCTTACTTACAAACAAAAAACTTTCCTGTTGGTGACCAGTACAATTAGTGATGGGAGAGAGGCTCATTTGTCTTGCAGGCAGGTGTTTGCTTACCACTGAGGAGCAGCTGATTGCGCCGGTACGAAGCTGGCAGCTGACCAATGTCTTCTATTCTATGGCTCATTACCCGTGAAAGGTGACCAGTGTGGTAAAGGCTTCCCACAATGATGCTGTGCAAGTACATAGGTTCAATGAAGGAGCTGAGGAGAGCACCTTGGAGACCAAGGATGTTCCATCTGAAAAAGAAATTCAGGAGCAATTGGGTGGAGGAATGGCTACAGTATTGCTCACCTTGGAGAAATCAGCAGAGGCCAGCCCATGGGTTAGAGGGATGAAACCATTCCTGCCCCTATGCTATAATGCAGGAAGCACTGTTGACTTACTATACACCCATGGACTGACTTCACCTTTATGAGGGTTTTAGGCCACTCTGGTGCCATTGACTTAAGGGATGTGTCTTGTCTTGCTGTAAACAGAGGCTTCTTATTGAGAGCTACTTCTAAAAGCATTTTGTGTTTGATGGATGTTCATTTAGCATGTCTTTAGCAGAATTTAAAAATTATTTTCTGCATCTGTAGATCTTCACTTGCAATGGTAGAGTTAGAATTAGAGCTTTTGTTATTCCACCTTTATTTGCTGTTTGTCATACATTAGTAGCAACCCCTAGCCATACAACCAAGCTAACACATGACCTAGGTGGCCAAAATCCCCACAAAATTGTTGTGAACATTTTTTGAATGCCTCACAGGCTGACATTTCTTTGCACAAATGACCACGAAGATATGAAGACATCCATAAGAATTAAATCCTGGTCTTGAAGACGAAAAAAATAGACTTACATTTTAAGGAAATTTATTTGTAACCAATAGTTTGATGTACTCTGAAGTGTTCAGTGATGGATATATCTCACCCTGTTGCTGTGTTATAGGTGCAGCAGAGTAATGGTGCAAACCCTGGGGCCTTCTGCCTGTTAATGACTGTGAGTTCCATATTACTGGTGTTGGATTAGTGGACAGAATGGTTCTGCATTTTAATAGCCCATGAATTTTTACATCAAGCTAGGCACAAATATGACAGCATGCTTGCTCTAAATTCTTTGGAGGGCAGATAATTGGTTAAAAAGTGGAAAAATTAAAAAGGGGAAAGAAGTCATGATGCAGTTATCTGCTTGGCAAACCTATTAGCTCAGCCCATCTAAGAAGAAGTCATTCCCCAGCACACAAATGCTAACATGCTCCCTTGCACTTGGATAATATTTTTATGTAAGTCAAACACTGTCAATCTATTTGAATAGCTTTGAGTTCAGGAGTTCAAACTAAAAATGCTTCAGAAAATGTAGTTCTGAGGAGCATATTTTGGTTCTTTAGAAACCAAAACACTGGCAACGTTTGGAACTCTGTAGCTGACTGAAGGAAGGGGTAAGAGGTGCCTGCTATTTAAGGCAGTATCCAGTGGCTGCCAATCTAAATAATGTGTTTAAGGCAGAATCTCCATCAGCAGCAAGCATTATGGTGCTAATTTCTTACATCATTGTTCTTTTCATTAATTAACATTTCTCACCCGTTAGTGCAATTATTGCAGTGCCTCCGTGCTGTATGTCTCTTTTCATGATTAATAAGGAGTCATTATATTTCCCTTTCCTGAAGCAGTCAATTAACATGGAATACTTTCCATTAATTACTGAATGTTTAAAACCAGCATGCTGTACCTGGAGAGCAATCTGCTCTAGGAACCTGTGACACCAATTGCTTTAAAAAGTTCTCTTTAAATTTTATTCCAAAAACACAAGCAATTTAGCTGGCTATATTAATTTGCCTCCGAAGCAGGGCTGCGAATGAGAAACATCTTTTAATCTCATGCAAGAAAAGGCAGCCATCTGGCTGCTGAGGATTTCAGAGTCAGACTCTCCCTGTCTCCCTCTGTAAATGCAGGTCATTAAAGTAATGTGTTCATCTACATAAAACTCAAATGAAATATAAAAGGTAATATTTATATACAAACAATTTAGTCCCACAATTTAAACAGTCATTGGTTTTATGAAACGTTTACTTTAGTCGATCAGATTTGCATAACTTCATCTGGGAAGAAAAAATGTGGTCATTCCTGCAAATACCATCACTTTTAAAGGAAAGAACTTGTTGCCTCTTTGAGTAAATACCTTATCATGATGCAAAATTGATAATGCAAGTTTAAGAAACAGAGCTGAATTCAGCTAATAGTACTAAGCCTCTGACCAGCTTCCAAGGCGAGAAAAAAATTAGATATCTTTGTGCAGATGGAAACTTGTAAGATATCAGTGTTGTTTTCAACATTTGACATTTCCTTAAAAAAAGCCTTGCATATTTGATTGAAGGAGAGAAAAAAAAAGCAGCTAAACAGAAAAACAACATATGTTCAACAATATCAGGATTTTAGCAATATCTACATCAGAAGAAATCATCTGAGCTTTATTTACCAAAGTAAGGGATTGTGTTCAGATCATAAATTACGAGGTAATAATGATTATTTAATTTAAATTCTTCACAAGGACCTGCCTTTTCTTTAGAGATATTCTCTGCCTAATTCTGGGCATATTCATCCAAGTGTAAAAAGGGATTCAAATGCCAATGGAATTACATTATTGGAAATCATAATACAAGCATGATGGGGTCACCCCGTATGTATTGAAAACATTCCATAAACATGAATTAATCCTTGCAATGCTGCTGTGAGGTGAAGCCCCATTTTTGCACCCTGGGGAATCAGGGCAGAGAGCCAGTATGATTTACTGAAGTCTGCAAGAGTCCATGGCTTCTGTATGCCATAGTTATTCCTTGGCACAGCCCTGTTGTCCCATTCCAAAAGAAGGCAGGTGTAGGGGGCAATGAAGTCTGTCTATCAGCCATGCTTTTGACTCCAGGGTGTTAGTTTGACTCCAAGACAAACAGGACAGAAGAACCAGACTGAAAAAACAAGGAAGAAATCTAGGAAAGAATACAGGGCACAAGAGCAAGGCATGCCTGATGTGTAGCATGTGGTGCAAAAAGAGACTGTCCCAGGGCCAGACAGCATCCTAAGGCAGGAAGGACAGAGAAATCAGGAAAGGTGTTGACACTGCAAAGGTAATATTCAGTGGGGGAACTGCTTGCCATGTCCTCCTGAGCAATGCCACGGCAGGTGACCATCACGGTGGTGGTGTGAAAAAGGATGAAGGTGATGGCACTGCCACATGTACAACGGCCACCTCCTTGTTCAACACAGCATTAATTGAATCCAGTCAGAGAAAAGGGATGACGAAACTCAGAAGGAGCTTTCCTTCAAGTCTAGCCCAGGTTTATCAAAGTGTTTAGACAGTTTCTCTCTGGAAAACAACCCTGAGCATGTATGGGAGTCTACTAAGTGAGCACAAGTCATAGGAAAGGAGGATTCCTGTGCTGAGCTGGCCAAAACCAGACCCTGGCACTGCTGCTGTTGTCCTTCAGAGCACAGTAACAACACATTAATGATGGGAGAAATTTTCAGTTAGTCATTCTGCTGCTTTTCTGTGGATAAAGAGACCTACCTTGGCGAGCAGCCAGCTCTGCATTTTGCATAAACAGTAGATTTAACTGACAATTATTTGGGGGAAGGTCTTTCATCCTGTGTATTGTTCATCCCTTGACCAACACACATGGCTAATGTACTGACTTGTTCCTTTGATATATGAACATAGAAATTTTCAGTTAGTCATTCTGCTGCTTTTCTGTGGATAAAGAGACCTACCTTGGCGAGCAGCCAGCTCTGCATTTTGCATAAACAGTAGATTTAACTGACAATTATTTGGGGGAAGGTCTTTCATCCTGTGTATTGTTCATCCCTTGACCAACACACATGGCTAATGTACTGACTTGTTCCTTTGATATATGAACATCGATCATTTGT